GGTGTTTCCCGTTCCTTGGGTGGTTGCATGATGTTTCCCATTCATTGTGGTGTTTCCCGTTCCTTGGGTGGTTGCATGATGTTTCCCATTCATTGTGGTGTTTCCCGTTCCTTGGGTGGTTGCATGATGTTTCCCATTCATTGTGGTGTTTCCCGTTCCTTGGGTGGTTGCATGATGTTTCCCATTCATTGTGGTGTTTCCCGTTCCTTGGGTGGTTGCATGATGTTTCCCATTCATTGTGGTGTTTCCCGTTCCTTGGGTGGTTGCATGATGTTTCCCATTCATTGTGGTGTTTCCCGTTCCTTGGGTGGTTGCATGATGTTTCCCATTCATTGTGGTGTTTCCCGTTCCTTGGGTGGTTGCATGATGTTTCCCATTCATTGTGGTGTTTCCCGTTCCTTGGGTGGTTGCATGATGTTTCCCATTCATTGTGGTGTTTCCCGTTCCTTGGGTGGTTGCATGATGTTTCCCATTCATTGTGGTGTTTCCCGTTCCTTGGGTGGTTGCATGATGTTTCCCATTCATTGTGGTGTTTCCCGTTCCTTGGGTGGTTGCATGATGTTTCCCATTCATTGTGGTGTTTCCCGTTCCTTGGGTGGTTGCATGATGTTTCCCATTCATTGTGGTGTTTCCCGTTCCTTGGGTGGTTGCATGATGTTTCCCATTCATTGTGGTGTTTCCCGTTCCTTGGGTGGTTGCATGATGTTTCCCATTCATTGTGGTGTTTCCCGTTCCTTGGGTGGTTGCATGATGTTTCCCATTCATTGTGGTGTTTCCCGTTCCTTGGGTGGTTGCATGATGTTTCCCATTCATTGTGGTGTTTCCCGTTCCTTGGGTGGTTGCATGATGTTTCCCATTCATTGTGGTGTTTCCCGTTCCTTGGGTGGTTGCATGATGTTTCCCATTCATTGTGGTGTTTCCCGTTCCTTGGGTGGTTGCATGATGTTTCCCATTCATTGTGGTGTTTCCCGTTCCTTGGGTGGTTGCATGATGTTTCCCATTCATTGTGGTGTTTCCCGTTCCTTGGGTGGTTGCATGATGTTTCCCATTCATTGTGGTGTTTCCCGTTCCTTGGGTGGTTGCATGATGTTTCCCATTCATTGTGGTGTTTCCCGTTCCTTGGGTGGTTGCATGATGTTTCCCATTCATTGTGGTGTTTCCCGTTCCTTGGGTGGTTGCATGATGTTTCCCATTCATTGTGGTGTTTCCCGTTCCTTGGGTGGTTGCATGATGTTTCCCATTCATTGTGGTGTTTCCCGTTCCTTGGGTGGTTGCATGATGTTTCCCATTCATTGTGGTGTTTCCCGTTCCTTGGGTGGTTGCATGATGTTTCCCATTCATTGTGGTGTTTCCCGTTCCTTGGGTGGTTGCATGATGTTTCCCATTCATTGTGGTGTTTCCCGTTCCTTGGGTGGTTGCATGATGTTTCCCATTCATTGTGGTGTTTCCCGTTCCTTGGGTGGTTGCATGATGTTTCCCATTCATTGTGGTGTTTCCCGTTCCTTGGGTGGTTGCATGATGTTTCCCATTCATTGTGGTGTTTCCCGTTCCTTGGGTGGTTGCATGATGTTTCCCATTCATTGTGGTGTTTCCCGTTCCTTGGGTGGTTGCATGATGTTTCCCATTCATTGTGGTGTTTCCCGTTCCTTGGGTGGTTGCATGATGTTTCCCATTCATTGTGGTGTTTCCCGTTCCTTGGGTGGTTGCATGATGTTTCCCATTCATTGTGGTGTTTCCCGTTCCTTGGGTGGTTGCATGATGTTTCCCATTCATTGTGGTGTTTCCCGTTCCTTGGGTGGTTGCATGATGTTTCCCATTCATTGTGGTGTTTCCCGTTCCTTGGGTGGTTGCATGATGTTTCCCATTCATTGTGGTGTTTCCCGTTCCTTGGGTGGTTGCATGATGTTTCCCATTCATTGTGGTGTTTCCCGTTCCTTGGGTGGTTGCATGATGTTTCCCATTCATTGTGGTGTTTCCCGTTCCTTGGGTGGTTGCATGATGTTTCCCATTCATTGTGGTGTTTCCCGTTCCTTGGGTGGTTGCATGATGTTTCCCATTCATTGTGGTGTTTCCCGTTCCTTGGGTGGTTGCATGATGTTTCCCATTCATTGTGGTGTTTCCCGTTCCTTGGGTGGTTGCATGATGTTTCCCATTCATTGTGGTGTTTCCCGTTCCTTGGGTGGTTGCATGATGTTTCCCATTCATTGTGGTGTTTCCCGTTCCTTGGGTGGTTGCATGATGTTTCCCATTCATTGTGGTGTTTCCCGTTCCTTGGGTGGTTGCATGATGTTTCCCATTCATTGTGGTGTTTCCCGTTCCTTGGGTGGTTGCATGATGTTTCCCATTCATTGTGGTGTTTCCCGTTCCTTGGGTGGTTGCATGATGTTTCCCATTCATTGTGGTGTTTCCCGTTCCTTGGGTGGTTGCATGATGTTTCCCATTCATTGTGGTGTTTCCCGTTCCTTGGGTGGTTGCATGATGTTTCCCATTCATTGTGGTGTTTCCCGTTCCTTGGGTGGTTGCATGATGTTTCCCATTCATTGTGGTGTTTCCCGTTCCTTGGGTGGTTGCATGATGTTTCCCATTCATTGTGGTGTTTCCCGTTCCTTGGGTGGTTGCATGATGTTTCCCATTCATTGTGGTGTTTCCCGTTCCTTGGGTGGTTGCATGATGTTTCCCATTCATTGTGGTGTTTCCCGTTCCTTGGGTGGTTGCATGATGTTTCCCATTCATTGTGGTGTTTCCCGTTCCTTGGGTGGTTGCATGATGTTTCCCATTCATTGTGGTGTTTCCCGTTCCTTGGGTGGTTGCATGATGTTTCCCATTCATTGTGGTGTTTCCCGTTCCTTGGGTGGTTGCATGATGTTTCCCATTCATTGTGGTGTTTCCCGTTCCTTGGGTGGTTGCATGATGTTTCCCATTCATTGTGGTGTTTCCCGTTCCTTGGGTGGTTGCATGATGTTTCCCATTCATTGTGGTGTTTCCCGTTCCTTGGGTGGTTGCATGATGTTTCCCATTCATTGTGGTGTTTCCCGTTCCTTGGGTGGTTGCATGATGTTTCCCATTCATTGTGGTGTTTCCCGTTCCTTGGGTGGTTGCATGATGTTTCCCATTCATTGTGGTGTTTCCCGTTCCTTGGGTGGTTGCATGATGTTTCCCATTCATTGTGGTGTTTCCCGTTCCTTGGGTGGTTGCATGATGTTTCCCATTCATTGTGGTGTTTCCCGTTCCTTGGGTGGTTGCATGATGTTTCCCATTCATTGTGGTGTTTCCCGTTCCTTGGGTGGTTGCATGATGTTTCCCATTCATTGTGGTGTTTCCCGTTCCTTGGGTGGTTGCATGATGTTTCCCATTCATTGTGGTGTTTCCCGTTCCTTGGGTGGTTGCATGATGTTTCCCATTCATTGTGGTGTTTCCCGTTCCTTGGGTGGTTGCATGATGTTTCCCATTCATTGTGGTGTTTCCCGTTCCTTGGGTGGTTGCATGATGTTTCCCATTCATTGTGGTGTTTCCCGTTCCTTGGGTGGTTGCATGATGTTTCCCATTCATTGTGGTGTTTCCCGTTCCTTGGGTGGTTGCATGATGTTTCCCATTCATTGTGGTGTTTCCCGTTCCTTGGGTGGTTGCATGATGTTTCCCATTCATTGTGGTGTTTCCCGTTCCTTGGGTGGTTGCATGATGTTTCCCATTCATTGTGGTGTTTCCCGTTCCTTGGGTGGTTGCATGATGTTTCCCATTCATTGTGGTGTTTCCCGTTCCTTGGGTGGTCGCATGATGTTTCCCATTCATTGTGGTGTTTCCCGTTCCTTGGGTGGTTGCATGATGTTTCCCATTCATTGTGGTGTTTCCCGTTCCTTGGGTGGTTGCATGATGTTTCCCATTCATTGTGGTGTTTCCTGTTCCTTGGGTGGTTGCATGATGTTTCCCATTCATTGTGGTGTTTCCCGTTCCTTGGGTGGTTGCATGATGTTTCCCATTCATTGTGGTGTTTCCCGTTCCTTGGGTGGTTGCATGATGTTTCCCATTCATTGTGGTGTTTCCCGTTCCTTGGGTGGTTGCATGATGTTTCCCATTCATTGTGGTGTTTCCCGTTCCTTGGGTGGTTGCATGATGTTTCCCATTCATTGTGGTGTTTCCCGTTCCTTGGGTGGTTGCATGATGTTTCCCATTCATTGTGGTGTTTCCCGTTCCTTGGGTGGTTGCATGATGTTTCCCATTCATTGTGGTGTTTCCCGTTCCTTGGGTGGTTGCATGATGTTTCCCATTCATTGTGGTGTTTACCGTTCCTTGGGTGGTTGCATGATGTTTCCCATTCATTGTGGTGTTTCCCGTTCCTTGGGTGGTTGCATGATGTTTCCCATTCATTGTGGTGTTTCCCGTTCCTTGGGTGGTTGCATGATGTTTCCCATTCATTGTGGTGTTTCCCGTTCCTTGGGTGGTTGCATGATGTTTCCCATTCATTGTGGTGTTTCCCGTTCCTTGGGTGGTTGCATGATGTTTCCCATTCATTGTGGTGTTTCCCGTTCCTTGGGTGGTTGCATGATGTTTCCCATTCATTGTGGTGTTTCCCGTTCCTTGGGTGGTTGCATGATGTTTCCCATTCATTGTGGTGTTTCCCGTTCCTTGGGTGGTTGCATGATGTTTCCCATTCATTGTGGTGTTTCCCGTTCCTTGGGTGGTTGCATGATGTTTCCCATTCATTGTGGTGTTTCCCGTTCCTTGGGTGGTTGCATGATGTTTCCCATTCATTGTGGTGTTTCCCGTTCCTTGGGTGGTTGCATGATGTTTCCCATTCATTGTGGTGTTTCCCGTTCCTTGGGTGGTTGCATGATGTTTCCCATTCATTGTGGTGTTTCCCGTTCCTTGGGTGGTTGCATGATGTTTCCCATTCATTGTGGTGTTTCCCGTTCCTTGGGTGGTTGCATGATGTTTCCCATTCATTGTGGTGTTTCCCGTTCTCTGTGTGATATCTTCCTTCTCACCCGTACGTAGCACGGATAATGGAATTGGAGGAGCAGGTGAAGGCAGGTACAAGTGAGGAGGACAAAAAGGGCGCGTTGGAACGGCTGAATAACGCGTTGAGGGAAGAGCTGCAAGAGGCGTTGGATAAAATCGAGACGCAAAGGGGCGATGGCGAGGTGCTGCAGAGGGAGAAGGAGGAGCTTCGGAGAAAACTCTTTCGCATGGAGGAGCAGGTAAGGGGAGATGAATGAATACGTGGAGGGCTTGTGAGTGAGTGGGGAGGAGGGGAAAGCATGGGGGGAGCAGTGGAATGGGCATTTGAAGTGGGGGCCTTGTGATTGGGGAGGAAGATTATGCATTGAAAATTGCAGCGGACTTCTCTATACCACTATGCATCACGTCTATGAAGTGCTTCCCTCTTTTTGTGCGTGCAGGCTGAGGTGCAGTGTGGAGTGGCCGAGGCCAAGGTTGGTATGTTGCTGCAGCAGGTGGCAGCATCTCAGCAGGCAGAGCTGGCTCTCAAGATGCAAGCGGTGGAGCAAGACGGACAGAGGGCTGCCCTTGCACGGGAGTTGCATGTATGCCAGGCAGAACAGGCGAGAAAAGCCGCTGACATTGAAAGGATTGCTGCTGAGAGGGACGAATTTGCTGGGGAAGCAGCACAGCTGCGTGTAGAGCGGGAGGTGAGGCAAAAGCAGGTGGAGGCTTTGGTGGAGGCGAAGGAGAGGGCTGTGGGGCAGGCAGTGGAGCTAGCAGCTGCTAACGAGAGAAGTTTTGATGCGAGGGAGATAGCTGAAGTGCAAGAAAGGCAGCTGAGGGCAGACCTAGAAGAGGCACAAAAGCAGATGGAGGTTCTTGTGGGGGAGAAGGAGAGGGCTCAGGAGCATTTGGTAGAGGCAAGAGCTGCTGAGAGGGAGAAGTGGAGGGCGCTGGAAGAGCAGAGGCGGGCTTTTGAAGACGCTCTTGAGGGAGCGAGGAGAAAAGTGGTGGAGATTGAAGATGCTGTAAGAAGGGAGGTGAGAAGGTTGGAAGAGGAGAAGAGGACGTTGCAGGAGGCCCTTGAGGGAGTGAAGAGACAGCAGGTGGAGATGGAAAATGCTGGGAGAGAAAGGGTGAGGAAGTTGGAAGGGCAGAAGAGCAGTTTGGAGGAGGTGGTTGAGGGAATGAAGAGAAAGTTGGATTATCTTAGGGGAGAGAATTTGAGGGCGTTGGGAGGGCTTAAGGAAGAGCTCAGGTTGGAGAGGGAGCGGGTGATTTATGCTGCGGGCCAACTGGGTCATATTAAAGGATTGCTTGAGGCTGGCTCTGCTGCTATTACCCCTGCTTCTGCTGTCCCTTCTGCTATGGTTCCTTCCTCTGTTGCTGCTCTTGAACCTGCTGCTGCTACCCCTGCTTCTGCTGTCCCTTCTACTATGGTTCCTTCCTCTGTTGCTGCTCTTGAACCTGCTGCTGCTACCCCTGCTTCTGCTGTCCCTTCCGCTATGGTTCCTTCCTCTGTTGCTGCTCTTGAACCTGCTGCTGCTACCCCTGCTTCTGCTGTCCCTTCTACTATGGTTCCTTCCTCTGTTGCTGCTCTTGCTCCTGCTGCTGCTACCCCTGCTTCTGCTGTCCCTTCTACTATGGTTCCTTCTTCTGTTGCTGCTCTTGCTCCTAATGCTGCTACCCCTGCTTCTGCTATCCCTTCTGCTATGGTTCCTTCCTCTGTTGCTGCTCTTGCTCCTGCTGCTGCTACCCCTGCTTCTGCTGTCCCTTCTACTATGGTTCCTTCCTCTGTTGCTGCTCTTTCCACTGCTCTTGCTCCTGCTCATGCTCCTTCAGCTGCTATCTCAGTTTCTGCTTGTACTGTTATCCCTACTGCAGCTGCTGCTGCTTCTGGTATCCCTGCTCCTGCTGCTGCTGCTTCTGGTATCCCTGCTCCTGCTGATGCTGCTTCTGTTGCTGCTGTGGATATCCCTGTTCATGTTGCTGCTATCCCTGCTGTTGCTGCTGTGGCTATCCCTGTTCATGTTGTTGCTATCCCCGCTGCTGCTATACCTTCTGTTACTGCTGCTATCCCTGCTGCCACTTCTGCTATACCTCCTCCTGCTGTTGCTACTATCGTTGGAAGGTGGACAAACAAATCGAAGCAGAGCATTTTCCCGGCGGTAGAGTGTGCCTTTTTTTGCTTTACGTCTTCAAAAGTCCGGATCAGGCGGCATTATTGTACAGCAGGTATCTGGGACACAAGCTTATGAGCAGGCTGGAGAACTTGTCTGAGGAAAGGATGGATAGGTTTCTGGGGCTGTTAAGTGACAGCAAAAGGTGGAGGGCATTGGTGGCCCATTTCTTTTCTCCAATACCCTCTATCGGCAAGGGCCATGTCTGTATTAGCAATCAAGTCGGCAGTTGAGGAGCGGGGTGCGGATCTGATACAGTCTATTTATTAGTTGACTAAAAAAATGTTTTATTTTTTCCAATACCCTCTATCGGCAGGGGACATGTCGGAATCAGCGAGCAAATCGGCAGTTGAGGAGTGGAGTGCTGGAGGCAGTGGCAGTGGTGACACAGTTGATCGGCAGGGATCGGCAGATGGATCTCCAACCTGGCGGGTGCATCTTCAAGTTTTCTGCACGGAAATGAAGCCGTTGATCAGGGATTACCGGTGTGGGGATTACCGGCAGCGGCCAGAGATAAGGTGTAGAATCTTTCGCAAGTTGCATGAAGCTGAGAAGCTGCTAGGTGAGTGGGAGTTTGATAATGTCACTCGCACCATGGTTGGGAGGAGTACCCAAGCCTCCTTCAAACGTGGACTTGCGAGAAGGCAATGTCTCGGGACATGGAATGACGACACGGCGCAGTCATTTGCTGCTGCCAGAAGATTAGTTCTCTGCGCAGAATTTATCTTTTCACGGAGGGAGCATGTGGAGGGTGGTGTGAGGGGGAGGTTGCCGGATTTTTGGAGGCAGTGTGAACGGTTCCTTGGTGAGCCGCTTATGGGGAAGCTGGAAGCAATTACGAGAGAGACGGCGTTGAAAGCTCTTGAAAAGCATTCGTGGGGCCCCTTCATTGATGAAGTTGAGAAGACTGAGAAAGGAAAACCTATCAAGGAGCCATGGCAACTGGTGCCTCATGAAGATGCGTTTGGGAAGAGGAGGAGGGGGGAGGATGAGGGGGAGGAGGAAGGACGAGGAGAGGGAGGTCGAAGGACGAAGAGGAGGAGGAACGACGAGGGGGGGGGATTGAGGAGGAGGGGAGCACATGGAGGAGGAGGAAGACGGGTAAAGAAGAGGCGAAGTAGGTCAAGGGGGGGGGGGGTAAACGGGAGGAGACTGACATGGAAGCAATGGGAGGGGAGCACATGGAGGAGGAGGAAGACGGGTAAAGAAGAGGCGAAGTAGGTCAAGGGGGGGGGGGTAAACGGGAGGAGACTGACATGGAAGCAATGGGAGGGGAGCACATGGAGGAGGAGGAAGACGGGTAAAGAAGAGGCGAAGTAGGTCAAGGGGGGGGGGGTAAACGGGAGGAGACTGACATGGAAGCAATGGGAGGGGAGCACATGGAGGAGGAGGAAGACGGGTAAAGAAGAGGCGAAGTAGGTCAAGGGGGGGGGGGGTAAACGGGAGGAGACTGACATGGAAGCAATGGGAGGGGAGCACATGGAGGAGGAGGAAGAAGGGTAAAGAAGAGGCGAAGTAGGTCAAGGGGGGGGGGGTAAACGGGAGGAGACTGACATGGAAGCAATGGGAGGGGAGCACATGGAGGAGGAGGAAGAAGGGTAAAGAAGAGGCGAAGTAGGTCAAGGGGGGGGGGGTAAACGGGAGGAGACTGACATGGAAGCAATGGGAGGGGAGCACATGGAGGAGGAGGAAGAAGGGTAAAGAAGAGGCGAAGTAGGTCAAGGGGGGGGGGGGTAAACGGGAGGAGACTGACATGGAAGCAATGGGAGGGGAGCACATGGAGGAGGAGGAAGAAGGGTAAAGAAGAGGCGAAGTAGGTCAAGGGGGGGGGGGTAAACGGGAGGAGACTGACATGGAAGCAATGGGAGGGGAGCACATGGAGGAGGAGGAAGAAGGGTAAAGAAGAGGCGAAGTAGGTCAAGGGGGGGGGGGTAAACGGGAGGAGACTGACATGGAAGCAATGGGAGGGGAGCACATGGAGGAGGAGGAAGAAGGGTAAAGAAGAGGCGAAGTAGGTCAAGGGGGGGGGGGTAAACGGGAGGAGACTGACATGGAAGCAATGGGAGGGGAGCACATGGAGGAGGAGGAAGAAGGGTAAAGAAGAGGCGAAGTAGGTCAAGGGGGGGGGGGTAAACGGGAGGAGACTGACATGGAAGCAATGGGAGGGGAGCACATGGAGGAGGAGGAAGAAGGGTAAAGAAGAGGCGAAGTAGGTCAAGGGGGGGGGGGTAAACGGGAGGAGACTGACATGGAAGCAATGGGAGGGGAGCACATGGAGGAGGAGGAAGAAGGGTAAAGAAGAGGCGAAGTAGGTCAAGGGGGGGGGGGTAAACGGGAGGAGACTGACATGGAAGCAATGGGAGGGGAGCACATGGAGGAGGAGGAAGAAGGGTAAAGAAGAGGCGAAGTAGGTCAAGGGGGGGGGGGTAAACGGGAGGAGACTGACATGGAAGCAATGGGAGGGGAGCACATGGAGGAGGAGGAAGAAGGGTAAAGAAGAGGCGAAGTAGGTCAAGGGGGGGGGGGTAAACGGGAGGAGACTGACATGGAAGCAATGGGAGGGGAGCACATGGAGGAGGAGGAAGAAGGGTAAAGAAGAGGCGAAGTAGGTCAAGGGGGGGGGGGTAAACGGGAGGAGACTGACATGGAAGCAATGGGAGGGGAGCACATGGAGGAGGAGGAAGAAGGGTAAAGAAGAGGCGAAGTAGGTCAAGGGGGGGGGGGTAAACGGGAGGAGACTGACATGGAAGCAATGGGAGGGGAGCACATGGAGGAGGAGGAAGAAGGGTAAAGAAGAGGCGAAGTAGGTCAAGGGGGGGGGGGTAAACGGGAGGAGACTGACATGGAAGCAATGGGAGGGGAGCACATGGAGGAGGAGGAAGAAGGGTAAAGAAGAGGCGAAGTAGGTCAAGGGGGGGGGGGTAAACGGGAGGAGACTGACATGGAAGCAATGGGAGGGGAGCACATGGAGGAGGAGGAAGAAGGGTAAAGAAGAGGCGAAGTAGGTCAAGGGGGGGGGGGTAAACGGGAGGAGACTGACATGGAAGCAATGGGAGGGGAGCACATGGAGGAGGAGGAAGAAGGGTAAAGAAGAGGCGAAGTAGGTCAAGGGGGGGGGGGTAAACGGGAGGAGACTGACATGGAAGCAATGGGAGGGGAGCACATGGAGGAGGAGGAAGAAGGGTAAAGAAGAGGCGAAGTAGGTCAAGGGGGGGGGGGTAAACGGGAGGAGACTGACATGGAAGCAATGGGAGGGGAGCACATGGAGGAGGAGGAAGAAGGGTAAAGAAGAGGCGAAGTAGGTCAAGGGGGGGGGGGTAAACGGGAGGAGACTGACATGGAAGCAATGGGAGGGGAGCACATGGAGGAGGAGGAAGAAGGGTAAAGAAGAGGCGAAGTAGGTCAAGGGGGGGGGGGTAAACGGGAGGAGACTGACATGGAAGCAATGGGAGGGGAGCACATGGAGGAGGAGGAAGACGGGTAAAGAAGAGGCGAAGTAGGTCAAGGGGGGGGGGGTAAACGGGAGGAGACTGACATGGAAGCAATGGGAGGGGAGCACATGGAGGAGGAGGAAGAAGGGTAAAGAAGAGGCGAAGTAGGTCAAGGGGGGGGGGGTAAACGGGAGGAGACTGACATGGAAGCAATGGGAGGGGAGCACATGGAGGAGGAGGAAGAAGGGTAAAGAAGAGGCGAAGTAGGTCAAGGGGGGGGGGGTAAACGGGAGGAGACTGACATGGAAGCAATGGGAGGGGAGCACATGGAGGAGGAGGAAGAAGGGTAAAGAAGAGGCGAAGTAGGTCAAGGGGGGGGGGGTAAACGGGAGGAGACTGACATGGAAGCAATGGGAGGGGAGCACATGGAGGAGGAGGAAGACGGGTAAAGAAGAGGCGAAGTAGGTCAAGGGGGGGGGGGTAAACGGGAGGAGACTGACATGGAAGCAATGGGAGGGGAGCACATGGAGGAGGAGGAAGAAGGGTAAAGAAGAGGCGAAGTAGGTCAAGGGGGGGGGGGGTAAACGGGAGGAGACTGACATGGAAGCAATGGGAGGGGAGCACATGGAGGAGGAGGAAGAAGGGTAAAGAAGAGGCGAAGTAGGTCAAGGGGGGGGGGGTAAACGGGAGGAGACTGACATGGAAGCAATGGGAGGGGAGCACATGGAGGAGGAGGAAGAAGGGTAAAGAAGAGGCGAAGTAGGTCAAGGGGGGGGGGGTAAACGGGAGGAGACTGACATGGAAGCAATGGGAGGGGAGCACATGGAGGAGGAGGAAGAAGGGTAAAGAAGAGGCGAAGTAGGTCAAGGGGGGGGGGGTAAACGGGAGGAGACTGACATGGAAGCAATGGGAGGGGAGCACATGGAGGAGGAGGAAGAAGGGTAAAGAAGAGGCGAAGTAGGTCAAGGGGGGGGGGGTAAACGGGAGGAGACTGACATGGAAGCAATGGGAGGGGAGCACATGGAGGAGGAGGAAGAAGGGTAAAGAAGAGGCGAAGTAGGTCAAGGGGGGGGGGGTAAACGGGAGGAGACTGACATGGAAGCAATGGGAGGGGAGCACATGGAGGAGGAGGAAGAAGGGTAAAGAAGAGGCGAAGTAGGTCAAGGGGGGGGGGGGTAAACGGGAGGAGACTGACATGGAAGCAATGGGAGGGGAGCACATGGAGGAGGAGGAAGAAGGGTAAAGAAGAGGCGAAGTAGGTCAAGGGGGGGGGGGGTAAACGGGAGGAGACTGACATGGAAGCAATGGGAGGGGAGCACATGGAGGAGGAGGAAGAAGGGTAAAGAAGAGGCGAAGTAGGTTGAGGACAATATGCAAGTGGGAAGGTGTACAATATGCTCTGTACATGAGTACCTGGGGGGTACATGGCTGCTGGGGTGTGCATGGGCTGCTGGGGTGTGCATGTGCTGCTGGAATGTGCATGGCTGCTGGGGTGTGCATGGGCTTCTGGGGTGTGCATGTGCTGCTGGAATGTGCATGGCTGCTGGGGTGTGCATGTGCTGCTGGAATGTGCATGGCTGCTGGGGTGTGCATGGGCTGCTGGAATGTGCATAAGTTGTTGGTGTGTACATGGGCTACTGGGTGCAGGGTTGCTTGTATGTGTGCTTTGATTTCTATTCGTTCTTTCATTTCAAGTTGGGAGTTGGTGGGCACAGGGCATTAGAAATAGTAGGATATTTTATGTTTGGGCGGAGCTCACTAGCCTAGGCAGAAGCACCAATGTACATAGGCTGCCTAGATAGAGAGTTCGTTGCTGCTTCGTTTGTGTGTATCCTTCCTTTTTCCGAGTGCAATTGCCGATTTGTCCCCGCTTGACCGCACCGATGGGGGAATATGAAGTCAAATGGTGAAGGGACTTGTTTTAGTGAGAAAGCAAATTATATGCAGCAGGTAGGAGCAAGAGGAAGGAGAAAGGAAGAAGAGCAATTCAGTGAGGGGCAACAGGTCGGCAATCATCCCCTCTGTACGTCCCCAGGCTTTCTGATGCCGCTACTGACATTGCATCTACTGCTCTACGTATGACCCCATGATTTCTGGCGCAGTTTCAGCATGCTACATTGTCACTGGTGTGTGTTGTGCTTCCACATACATCCACCCAGATTCAAATCACACAAACGAATGCACCTTCAATCGAGTCACACTTGTTCTCGACTTCTGTTCTATGCGCTTTCCGTTCTCCATTTTAAGAATCACCCACTTTGCTGCCCCAAATGCCCCCTTGCTCTCTCGTCCCTCCAAGGTGATGGCGATTGCATTATTTAGATGACTTTTGAGTCGACTTCTGAGTCGAGCTTGGCGATTGTATTTTCAAAAGTCATATTGCTCTCTTGTCCCTCCAAGGTGATGGCGATTGAATTTCTGAGGCGCCTACAGAAAAAAAAACTCACTCTGCTGCTCAATTTTTCTCCTTGCTCTCTTGTTCCTTCCAGGTGATGGTGATTGGTGAGAGCTCCTGCCTGCTAAGATGCTCACGTCATTGCATATGCAGCATGTTCCTGTGACGGAGTTACTTTTATGAATTCTCCCAACATGGCGATGTGCCTGTGAAACGGCAGTGGTAAGTCACATCCTTCCCAAGCCATTGTTTATTTATCATCAAGCGAAAGGCGGGTTTCTTTGCCATGACGTGTTAGTCCTCTTCTTGAACGTGTTAGCCCTCTTCGCCTCTCTTGCTCTCTCACAAAAGCATAGAAAGATAGTTTCCCCGTGTCTTCTTGAGAGATGACGTCCCCTGTGAACCCACTGTTTTTACTAACCTTTGCTTATTCATTACTAACCCATCACTTTTATTACTTTTTTTTTTCCCTAATGTATTGCTAACTAACCCATCCCATTACAACCGTCCATCTCACCTCATCTTATCTCATCCCATCCCATCCCATCCCATCCCATCCCATCCCATCCCATCCCATCCCATCCCATCCCATCCCATCCCATCCCATCCCATCCCATCCCATCCCATCCCATCCCACTCCATCTCACCCCATCTCATCCCATCCCATCTTATGACCACCCCATCCCCCACCTCACCCCACCCCATTCCACCCCATTCCACACCGTCCCATCTCATCCCACTCCATCCCACCCGATCCCATCCCATCCCATACCACCCCTGCCCATCTCATCTTATCCCATCCCACCCCACCACACCTCACCTCACCTCACCTCACCCCACCTCACCTCACCTCATCTCATCTCATCTCATCTCACCTCATCTCATCTCATCTCATCTCATATCATCTCATCTCATCTCATCTCATCTCATCTCATCTCATCTCATCTCATCTCATCTCATCTCATCTCATCTCATCTCATCTCACCTCACCTCACCTCACCTCACCTCATCTCATCTCATCTCATCTCATCTCATCTCATCTCATCTCATCTCATCTCATCTCATCTCATCTCATCTCATCTCACCTCACCTCACCTCACCTCACCTCACCTCACCTCACCTCACCTCACCTCATCTCATCTCATCTCATCTCATCTCATCTCATCTCATCTCATCTCATCTCATCTCATCTCATCTCATCTCATCTCATCTCATCTCGTCTCATCCTCCCCCGTGTCCTTCCGAAACCTTTTCACTTCCCTCCCTAGCCAATCCCGTGCAGACAGCTGGCATTGCATGAAACCCAACACATCATAGGCTGGATATCTTGAGTCACATGCACCAACACTGTTGCCACATGTGCATCTGCTATTGTAAGATCTCGTTCCCTAGGGACTGTGAATGTACCAGCCAAACTAGCCTGTTGCATCATTCCTACCAGCCTGTTGCATCACTCCTGCCAGCCTGTTGCAACACTCCTGCCAGCCTACTGCGACAATTGTTTGACTCTTCCTTTTGACAATGCTACCCCTGCAAAAGTCATCACCTCATGTTTGCCCTCTCCTCCCATCCTCCTCTGCCAACGCTTCCCCTTTTCCCTTCATCCCTCCCTTATACCCTCTTTCCATCACCTGTGAGGTATGCTCAGCAATGAATGCATTGCCGTTTTTAGCATGCGCCATTGCCTTTTATTTCTATTTTTGTTCTCAAGAGAAACCTACCAATGAGTGCACCATCATTTCCATTTTCAGCAACATGCACCATCTTTGCCTCCCTCACAATCTTGTGGGTCCTTCTTATGCTGTTGTGTGTACGCAAAACAGGCAATCTTTTGTTTTCTCGTTGCCTCTGTTCCTATTCTCACTTTGCCCTTCTTCCACTTCCGATGGTTCTCCCTCTTGGCCTTTGTTCCTCCCGCCCCCTCTTGCTCCCTCCAATCCACTCTAACCCTCTTCCCCACAACGGTTGGTTGCATATTCAAGATCACCTTTGGCAACAATAAAGGAGCATGAGCCAGCGTGTTCGAGTGATCACACCTTTGGCGTGATCACATTGGCTCATGATCACATTGGCTCATGATCACATTGGCTCATGATCACATGGGCTCATGATCACATGGGCTCATGATCACATGGGCTCATGATCACATGGGCTCATGATCACATTGGCTCATGATCACATTGGCTCATGATCACATTGGCTCATGATCACATTGGCTCATGATCACATTGGCTTATGATCACATGGGCTCATGATCACATGGGCTCATGATCACATGGGCTCATGATCACATGGGCTCATGATCACATGGGCTCATGATCACATGGGCTCATGATCACATGGGCTCATGATCTCATGGGCTCATGATCACATGGGCTCATGATCACATTGGCTCATGATCACATTGGCTCATGATCACATTGGCTCATGATCACATTGGCTCATGATCACATTGGCTCATGATCACATTGGCTCATGATCACATTGGCTCATGATCTCATGATCTCCATCTCCTTCAGTGAGTCAACTCATTTCCAAGTATTAAAACATGATATCCTGATTGGACTACAAAGTTAAAAAATTGGTAGTTTGCTCAACATCTCCTTTCACATCGTCAAAGAGTTCATCAGCTATATTTCTGCACTTCATAAGAGTTCAACAGAATGGGATGTTCACGGCTTTTTCCATAATTGGGTGCAGATGATTTTGCCAAGCCCTGCTTTTCCAGCATGCGCTTGGATTTCCTTTTGGGTGGTGTGTTACTTTGGGCAGCATTCCAGTTGGGTAAGAGGGCGTGTGTGTGTAGTTGGGGATAGAGGAGGGGGGAGGGGGGGGGAATGAGGTGGGGTGTGGGGGGGGGAGAGGGGGGGAGAGGGGGGGAGGAAGAAGGGGGGTTGATTGTGGGGGTGTGTGTGGGTGGGAGGATGGGTTGCATATGTATGTGTAAGCATCTGCATACGTGGGTGGATGCAGGAGAGAGTGAGAGGCTAGGGATGAAGGATTAGGGGGGGTGCAGGAATCCTCGGGATGCAGGGGCATAAATGGGACAATTGCACTAGCACGTGCAATGAGTACACGTACAAGTGTATAGCTGGGTGAATGGAGGGAAGAGAGTAACATGCGCACTTGAAGGAGAGCAAGTGAGTAAGTGGAAACGAAGGTTTAGAACGAGGGCGGGAGGGAGGGAGGGGGGAGGAGGGGGGAGAGGGGAGGGAAGAGAAAGGGAAGAGAAAGGGGGTTTTAAGCAAGCAAGGGGTGCAAAGCAGAGAGAGAGGTGATCCGCACAGTAGCAATGATATGCAGATTGTGGGATTAAGGGGCTATGTTTTGTAAACTGAGTTCCTCTTCTGCTGCTACACCTCGGTGCGAGCGGCATCATTTGCTGCTTCTGACCTGCTTCATCATTTGCTGCTTCTGACCTGCTTCACCATTTGCTGCTTCTGACCTGCTTCATCATTTGCTGCTTCTGACCTGCTTCACCATTTGCTGCTTCTGACCTGCTTCACCATTTGCTGCTTCTGACCTGCTTCACCATTTGCTGCTTCTGACCTGCTTCACCATTTGCTGCTTCTGACCTGCTTCATCATTTGCTGCTTCTGACCTGCTTCACCATTTGCTGCTTCTGACCTGCTTCACCATTTGCTGCTTCTGACCTGCTTCATCATTTGCTGCTTCTGACCTGCTTCACCATTTGCTCTGACCTGCTTCACCATTTGCTGCTTCTGACCTGCTTCATCATTTGCTGCTTCTGACCTGCTTCACCATTTGCTGCTTCTGACCTGCTTCACCATTTGCTGATTCTGACCTGCTTCACCATTTGCTGCTTCTGACCTGCTTCACCATTTGCTGCTTCTGACCTGCTTCACCATTTGCTGCTTCTGACCTGCTTCACCATTTGCTGCTTCTGACCTCCTTCACCAGTTGCTGCTTCTGACCTGCTTCACCATTTGCTGATTCTGACCTGCTTCACCATTTGCTGCTTCTGACCTGCTTCACCATTTGCTGCTTCTGGCCTGCTTCACCATTGCTGCTTCTGCACCTTCCATCAGCCGCGGTTTGCCTCTGTCACCATGTGCCATGCTGCTTGTACGCCACCTTCTCCTCCTGCACCTCAGTTTCTCCTCCTGCACTCCAACTTCCCTGTTACTCTGGATTTCTCTTCTTTTCTAGTCGTTGCGCTAATATGCCCTGGATTCCCAGTTTCCTGCCTGTCCTCCCACACCGCACTGTCTGCACTGCACACCTTTATTGGTGTTCGCACTAGCATAAGTGATCCGCAAAGTTACCTGTTTGGGAAGAATTTGAAGGGTGGGGGAGGGTGGGTAAAGGGTGAAGGGTGGAGGATGGGGAGGGAGGGTTGGGACAGGGTGAGGAGATGGGGAGGGGGATTAAGTACTGGAATTCGCACTGCGGCTGCACACTCTGCCGCACCTAACTGGCAGTGATTGACGTGAGGATGTACCTTGCAAGGAGTATGAACTGATGATAGATTAGCCTTGCTACAAATATGAGGTCTTGCTCATAGTTTGTTGTCGTCTGACATTGCGTTGATCCTTGTGCATTGTCACTTAGTAAAATTTCTACGCTGAAGTAGCTTGAAGATGTGATATCTCAGGGCATGGAATGGCAGGTTCACCTTTCTAGAATCCAAGAGGACAGGGCAGTTTGTAGGTATGTGCGAGCCGTAAACTGGTTGTACAGACTGTTCTATTTGCCCGTAGTCATATTGTGTCCTTCGAATAAGCTAGTGCACCTATTTTGTTTAATGTTGGGAATAATTTCCAAGTATCTTCAAGGTGCACCTATTCTGTGTTGTCCTGTTGTAGCTTATAGAACGTATATTTCTGCACCGCCTTCGCTGTCAGATTGCTCTGTTCAAACTCTCTGCTGTCAGAGACGTTCCCGCCAAATCTGATCCATTCCTTTGTCAGTGAACTACGAATTCGAACCACAGGATTTCTTTTCAGCAGCTCTCGACTCGAACTCCTCCCCTATCCTCCCGACCGAAGCCAAGCTATCCTGATTGGTTGGTTGCCCAACCGAATCAATGATCGCCGAGTGCGGTTCAGTGAGTTTCCACACGGTAGGTAGTGATTCACCCGTTTCCATCGCTTCGAACCAAAAAACAACCGAACCAAACCGTGGTAAATGCTTTGAAATTGAATGTGCGGGACGCTTCGGATTCAACTTCCGCATCCAGTGATGATGTTTCACTGCCCTAGGAATTTAGGTCATCGACTTAGGAACCACGCAGCGTTGTCGTGTGTAGCGTATTGACTATTGCAGCCTGAACTCGATCGGCTAGACCTGTTGCTCCTAAGTTAAATAACCTGAAGGCGAGGTTATTTGGTCGTTTATCACTACGTCAAGCTCCTCGCTTGCGTAATATTGCCGCCTGCAGCATCCGTCGATCTTCCGATCCGACCCATTCCATTACTTGAAGCGATATCTGCTTCTAACAGTTCAGACCATTATTATTAAGACATCATGGTGATAGAACGTCACAGCTCGTTAGACCCAGATCCGGGTGCCGTCGCGAGAGCTAATTCTAACGTGCAAGTGGTTGTGCGAGTAAGACCCCCGAACGAGCGGGAAAACGATTTAGGCTACCATAAATGCATCACAGTCGATCCCAGCTCAAAACTGCTACATCTCTCGACAAGGCCTCCTTCGAAGCCTTTCTCTTTCGACTATATTGCGGACGAAGACACGCAGCAGGTGACAGCGGCTAACAACTACTTTCCGTTCGTGGTCGTCAATGATTCCTTAAGCATCTGATAAGTCAGCCGAGAGTTCAAAATGAACTGACGTTCTTTTTGTCTGTCTTGATTTTTTTCCTTTTTTCTGTTTGCAGGAGGACATCTTCACGACAATCGGAAAGCCTATCACGGATGCATGTTTGGAAGGTTACCACTGCTGCCTTCTTGCGTATGGTACGGGAACAACTAGCTTTCTGTGACTTCAGAAGCATTCGCTCGAGTTTTATTTGCTGATATCACCACGCGATGCGGTTGATTCGCAGGGCAAACTGGAGCCGGCAAGACCTTCACGATGGAGGGTAAGACCGACGTTGCGTATCATTTCGACATACCTGATGCTTCATTAATCTCAGAGTACGGCAAGTCTGATGTTTTGTTCTTCTTTTGGCTTTCGCAGGACCGGATTGGGACAGCGAAGGGGAAGGATCCCAGCGAAGCGTGGACAAGCGCGGCCTTATTCCACGGATTCTGCAGTACATCTTCCAGAGACTGTCAGCTGACAAGGTATGACCTTTCTACCTTTCATTCTTACGGCGAAAACAAATATGATGCTGGTTTTTCCTTCCCTTTTTGTCTACATACCACTTGACGTCATTCAATCTTACATAACTTCTGTTGCGTCTGTGCGTGCAGGAGCTGCAGATGTTAGAGTTCACCATCCGCTGCTCCTACCTGCAGATTTACAATGAGCAGGTGTCGGACCTCCTCGAGCCAGATTCGGTGAACCTGAGTATGTCCTTACTGCACTACCATGAAATTCAGCGTCACGTTCTGTCAATCATGCACGAAAGTGAAAACGTCTGCTCATACATATTTTGTGTTGACTCGTGATTAGGTTAACCTTTTCTGATTTCGTGCATCCGTCCATTTTCGTGCGCTGTCATGCATCAGGCGTCATATGTCAGCTGTCATGCATCTGTTTTCATGTGTCAGATGCCATACATGATGCACCTGTTATCATGAATCCGTTCTTATGCGTGTGTGTGGTGTGGCAGATGTGAGGGAGGACATGAGGCACGGGATGTTCGTGGAGGGCCTCCAGGAGGTGGTGGTGTCCACGGCCGACGCCACCTACGCGCTGTTCAAGCGCGGCTCGCAGAACCGGCGCGTGGGCCAGACCGCCATGAACATGGAGAGCAGCCGCTCTCACAGTGTGTTCACTATTGTGGTGGAGACCCAGGTACAGCACCGGGTTTGTGTTTTCAATGAATACGCTGAATTCAAAATCTGCTCCTCAGATTCTGATGATGACACTCGCTTCTGCCGTTTTTTCTCCTTCCATGACGCCACCAGTTTTTGTGCTTCCTGATCACATCCCAAAGCGGCTTCTCATCTCACGCTGAACTTCCCTTCCTGTGTGTCTTGTTGGGCTGCAGCGGCGGGATGACGCGGGGGTGATGAAGAGGAGGACCTCACGGTTCAATCTGGTAGATTTAGCAGGGTCGGAGAGGCAGAAGCACAGTGAGGCGCAGGGGATGCGGCTGAAGGAGGCCGGGAGCATCAACAAGTCCCTCTCTGCGTTGGGAAATGTCATCAAGGTAAGAAAACGGACATTTTGAGTGACAGATTTGCTAAGGATTTGAGTGGCAGATTTTGCTATGTTGTTGTGAACTTCGGAGTCTGACATTGTGTGATGCCCTGCAGGCCTTGGTTGACATTGCAGAGGGGAAGGTTCGCCACGTGCCCTATCGAGACTCGAAGCTCACCTTTCTTCTAAGCGTAAGAAGCTCCTCATTTTGCATTTATACTGAATGATATTCAGTATACGTGCCCTTTCTGTTGATGGAATTCTAATTCTGTTTTTTTCTTCTTCGTTTCAGGGCTCCCTGGGTGGGAACTCCAAGTGCACCCTGCTGGCGGCTGTGAGTCCTGCGGAGCGCAACGTGGATGAAACGATGTCCACGCTCAAGTTTGCGCAGCGGGCGAAGCTGATGCACAACGAGGCTGTAGTGAACGAGCTGATGATGGGCAACCCCGCCGTCATGGGCGAGGAGATCCGACGGCTGCGCCTCGAGATCGCCGAGCTTAGAGGTGAGTTTTGTGAGGGAGAGATAGGGAAGGAAATGGGTTCTGGATGATACGTGGAGAACGGGATTTTTGGATTAGCTTGGAATGGGTTTTGACTTCTTACTGGATTCTGATGGTGTGAGGAGACTGACCCCGGTTTCTCTTCGTTGTGTGCGTTTGCAGCCAATGCGACAGCCGGAGTGCCTGGGCAGCCACTGCTCCCTCCCAGCCCTTCTCCTGCACCCATGTCAGGTAGAGTTCAGAAAGCCCAATCTGTTTGCAGTCCCCGCCCTGAAGCCTGGGGTCTTGTTTAGCGAGCTGTGAATCTTTCTGGTTGTCTCCTCTTGTCGTGCTTTCATAGTCCAAGTGTTTCCGACCATGCTCCTGTGTGTATCTGCTCGTGCCTCTCTCCACCCCGACCACCTCAGAGAACGAGCGCATCTGTCGCTTGGAGCAGATCATCTCCCAGTCCACAAAGCGAGCGATGGAGGCGGAGAGGCAGGCGGGGCAGGAGGTGGCGAGGCAGAGCAAGAGAGCCGAGGCCGCTGAGGCCCTGGCGGAAGGGCTCGTGAGGAGTGTGCAGGTGAGAATGGTTGGCGGATTCAGTAAAAGAAGCTGTAAAGTGAGGAGGTGATTGGCCGCCGCTGGCAGATGCTGTCACGTATTGGCTCTCCCGGTCGTGTTTGTTGAGCGCAAGGTGTGAGGTACTGTGGTCCTGGCGGACCTTGTTAACCATCTCCGTTCTCCCAGTGAAGAACATGAGCTCACTGTGTGCTGCATCCATTTGTGCCTGACCATTGTGTATCCTTGGTTTGATCCGCAAATATTGCATGACTTGCATGATTGGCTTGGCTTGCATGACTGGCTTGACTTGCATGACTGGCATGACTGGCATGATCGGTGCTGTGTGGTGCTGTGTGGTGCCACAGGGGCTGAAGATGGTGGTGAAGCTGCGGGACGGGAGGATCAAGCGGGTGGAGGCGCAGGGGAGGTGCGAGGGGCAGTGTACACGGGGGGAGGACGCGGCAGCAGTGGAGGAGCTGTCGCAGGAGGTGGAGGTGCTGAGGCGCATGGTGGAGAGGAACCCTGATGCCATCCGCTTCCAGCTGGAAGTTGACGTCTGCAAAGGTGCGTTTTGTAAATAGTACCTGTTGATTCTGGGTTCATTCACTTGATGATGGTATCTGACTGAGGCAGCTAAAAATATTAATTGAAGCGAACAGAGGACCTGGTTTGACTCTTTTCTTGCTTGGATTGGGCATTCGTATGAACACGCTGAATCACGCTGAAACACTGACTGACTTCCCAACGTGATCCTTGTTGCCCTTCCCAATGCATTGTCTCCCTCTCTGCTCCCTTTGCAGCGCGCATCAGCGAGTTGGAGGAGCAGCTGCAGACGGGCACGAGCGAGGGGGACAAGGTGGCGGCACTGGAGCGCCTGAACAACGCCCTGAGGGAGGAGCTGAAGGAGGCGTTTGATGAGAACGAGGCGCTGCGGGGCAAGGAGGAGGAGGGGCGGAGGGAGAGAGAGGAGCTCCGAGCCAAGCTCGTTGGCATGGAGGAGCATGTGAGTGGGGAGGAGGGTGGGGAAGGGTGTGAGTGGGGAGGAGGGTGGGGAGGGATGTGGGTGGGGAGGAGGGGGAGGCATGTGAGTGGGAGGATGACTGTGTATGTGCATTTCGTTTCGTTGGTCTCACGCGTCTCTCTCTTCTGTGGCTGACACTCGCAAACTACTTGCTGGCATGGCATGGCGGCTGTGGCAGAGCAGAACCAGCAGTTAGTGAACAGCATGTGGTTCCACGTTGTATTCCACCTGCCTGACTGACTCTTCCTTGTTGCACGCTGTGACTGACTGGCATGGCATGGCATGGCATGGCATGGCATGGCAGGTGAAGAAGGTGGCTGCAGTGGCGGAGCAGTACCGCATGGAGGTGAACAACACACGGCAGCTTCAGCGCAGCGTCAACGACCGCAAGCACGAGTTTGATGATGTGAGTGGCAATCTGATGACGCGAGTGCCGGTTCTGTGATGTGAGCATCACCGTCCCTTCAACATCTGATCTTCATTGATGTTATGACAATCTGCATCCAATTCACTGCTTCCCTTGCTGGTGATCATAACAACATCACTGTACTCTTTCCAACTTTCAATTAAACATAATCTCGATTTTTTCGAATCACTCCACTGCGTTCCTCTCTGCAATCCTCACTGTAACGCATCCACGTGCATCCCTGCCGCTCTGTGTTCCCAGGCGCGCGTGCGGTGTGGAGTGGCGGAGGCGAAGGTGGGCAAGCTGCTGCAGCAGCTGGCGGCCACCCAGCAGGCGGAATCAGTGCTCAAGGTGGAGGCCGCGGAGCACCACGCTCAGAGCGCCGCCCTCGCTCGGGATCTACAGACGTGCCGGGCCGAGCTGGCAAGGAACGGGGCTGAGGGTGAGAGGAGTGCAGCTGACGCAGCACAGCTGCGGGCTGATTTGGAAGCGGTGCGGAAGCAGGTGGAGGGGTTGGTGGAGGAGAAGGCGAGGGCTGAGGGAGAGGCGGCAGAGGCAGCAGCTGCTGGGAGGGAAAAGGAGAGGGCGTGGGAAGAAGAGAGAAAGGCGTTGGAGGAGGCTATGGAGGAGATGAGGAGAGCGCAGATGGAGGCGGAAGATGCTGGGAGGGAGAAGGTGCGGGAGCTCGAAGAGCAGAAGAGGGCTTTGGAGGAGGAGCTTGAGGGGATGAGGCGAAAGGTGATGGAGATGGAGGATGCTGGGAAGGAGAAGGAGGGCGCGTTAGAAGAGCAGAAGAGTGCGCTGGAAGAGGAGCTTGAGGGGATTAAGAGAAAGCAGCAGGAGATGGAGGATGCTGCGAGGGAGAATGTGAAAGAGCTTGAAGAGCAGAAGAGAATGTTGGAGGAGGAGCTGGAGGGGATGAAGGGTAAGCAGGTGGAGCTGGAGGAGAAGGTGCAAGCGCTGGAGAAAGAGCGGGAGCTGCTGTGGGCTGCAGCAGAGAAGAGCGGGGCGGACGGTGATGCTGACGGCGCTGATGGTGCTGGTGGTTCAGATGCTGCAAAGAAGCGGTCGGAGCTGGGCGAGAGGATAGCGAAGCTGGAGGAGGAGCTGAAGACGGAGAGGGCGCGGGTGATTGACCTGGCAGAGAAGGTGGGCGACAGGGACGGGCTGGTGGAGGCGGCTTGCGAGAGGCAGAGGCGGGCAGAGGATGCGGCGGAGAGGGCAAGGAGGCACGCGGAGGAGTTTGCTGCTGGGGGGCGCAAGCTGCAGCAGGTGAACCTGGCGCTGGAGGAGCAGCTGTGCTCCGCGCTGCAGAGCCTGCAGGAGGCGAAGGAGCGGGTGGAGCGACTGGAGCAGGAGAGAGTGGGTTTGCTGGAGGAGGCTATAATGCTGGAAAAGGAAACGGACGAGGAACAGAAGCAGCAAGAGGAGGAGGAGAAAGAGTGGGAGGAGCAGCAGGAGAGGCGTAAGGGAGGAGGTAGTGGAAGCAAGAGGAGGTGGCAGGAGAGTGTGAAGGGTGATGAGGAAGCAGTGGAGGCGGGTGGGGAGGAGAAGGAGGAGGGCGTTCTTAGCCCGATGACTCTGTGCCTCACAGAGCTCCGTGATGTGACCAACAGGGCAAGCCCTTCGCGAGTAGCAGGCAAAGACAGCAATGCAGCAGAAGCAAAGGGGAAGGATGCTGATGCACGCGCAGGAGCCGCTGGTTCTGGCCCCAGCCCAATTCGCCTCGGCACAGCAGCAGACATGTCCGCGCTACCTGCCTCTGCTTCTGCCAACGCGTTTCTCGCTAACAGGTGGACTCTGCCCTTTGCTGGAGACAACGTTTCTGCCAGCGTAGACTCTGACAGCGACCTGCTCAGATATGCAGTCACTGGGGCGGCCGGAGGGCTCACAGGGGGGGAAGGAGGCATGCAGGGCGCGCTGGGGCGAAAGCTAGAGAAGAAGAAGCGGAGGAGGAGCGCGCCAGTGAGCCAAGCAGAGGCGCAGGCGGAGAAGCTGAGGCTGATGGAGGTGCAGGTGCGGCACATGGTGAAGCAGCTCGCTGCGGCCCACGCCCAGGTGAAGAGCCTGTCCGGTAGGATGCAGAAGGCGGGCCCCCTGATGGTGCGGATGCGGGAGGTGGTGCAGCAGCTGCGGGCGAAAGGGCAGGCGCTGGAGCTGGCGCTGCTGAATACGCTGGAGAGGGAGGCGGAGAGGGAGCAGGCGGAGGAGGATGAGAAGGAGGAGGTTGGGCTGATGTATCTGGGACTGGAGGAGCAGAGGGATAGGTTGAGGGAGGAGAGGGATGCGTATTTGAAGCAGCTGATGGTGGTGGGGCCGAGGAACACGGTGCTTTGTGAGGAGTTGAGTGTGGTGAAGGCGAGGCTGGAAGCGGCTAGGGGAGAGATGGGTGAGATGGAGGAGGAGCGGGCGAGGCTGCGGAGGAAGCTGGCTAGGCTGAGTCGTAGGCTGGAGGAGCAGGTAACAGGGAGAAAAGCAGCGGTTACAGGTGGACGCCTCGAGAGTAAGGTTACGGTAGAGCATGGAGCTGACCGGGAGAAAGGTGGGGGTGGGGTCACGACGGAGAGCAGGGCTGATGTGGAGGATGGTGCTGACGTGGAGGATGCGGATGAGGAGCTCAAAGCTGACATGGATGAAGCGCTGGCCGTTGTGCGGGAGCATGTGGGGGAGGTGGAGAGCAGGAACAGAAAGCTGGCGGAGCAGGTGAGGAAGCTGGAACAGCAGTGCGAGAGGCTGCAGGCTAAGGCTGAGGGGGTGGGCAGCAGCAAGTCGAGGGCGGTGAGGGCTGTGGGGAAGAGCGAGAGCGAGGAGATGCTGGGAGGTGGTTTGAGCGTGAAGGCTGAGAGTGTGCGACAGCAGGGTGCAGGGCAGCACGAGCGTGAGAAGAAGGGAAATGGGCACGAGGGGGCGGAGCAGCAGCGGCTGGTTGGGCAAGTGGAGGAGCTGTTGGCGCGTCTGGCTGCGGCAGAGGAGCAGACAAAAGGCACCATGGGCCGCGCTGCTCTGGCGGAGCAACGGTGCAGCGAAATGCATGCTCGCGTTGCTGCTGTGGTAGCCCGGGAGAGGGCGCTGCAGAAGCTGTTGGTGAGCCCGCTGCTGAAGGATCCCGGGGCTGGGGATGGAGGGGTTGGAGGGTCTGGGGTTGGAGACACAGGGGTTGGGGGCAGAGGGATGATGGGAGGAGCGGGTGGGGACGAGATCGTTGAGGGGTGGAAGGCGAGGTGGCGGCAGCTAGAGCAGGAGCAGGGAGAGCTGGACTTACACCTGAACCAGAACAGGGTAGGGGACCAGGAAGGCAAGGACGAACAAGAGCATGCGGAGCAGGGATGTGGGCAGGAAGGGGTGGAATGCGGTGCAGAGGCTGGTAACATGGGTGCGGATATGGGGCAGGAGCAGAGGCGCATGCAGGTGGAGGAGGTGCGGGGGGTGCTGGCTCAGGTGGTGCTGGTGGAGAGTCTATTGGCCGTGGTGCTGTGCCGGGCTGGGCTTGCTGGTCTGTCCTCCCGCATGGAAACCAAGCTGCTGGGATCAGATCTGGGGTCAGGAGAGATGGTGGGGGCAGGAGGGATAGAAGGGAATGGTGGTTCGCCTGGTGAGGGAGGCTCAGGCGCAGGTGCAGGCGAGGAAGAGGGCGAGCCAGAAGGGGTGGATGGAAGGGGGAAGGAAGGAGTGAGCGGGTCAGGGAAGGAGGAGGGGACAGGGCTAGAAGGGGGAGGAGGGGAAGGAAGGGGAGCAGAGCAAGGAGTGGGAACAGAGCAAGTGGAGGAGGTGCTGAATGCGCTGCAGAGGCAAAGGGTGCTGCTGCTGGGGTTCTTGGGCGTGAAGGCAGAGGAAAGCAGCAAGCTAGAGCAGAATGAGCATGAGAGGGAATCGAGGAATCTGGCGAACGAGGAGGCAGAACGAGCTATAGCGAGTCCCAGTGACGGTCTGACCCTTCCCCCTGCGGCTGTGGTATCCAGGCAGGTCAGAATCGCGCAGCAGCTGGTGCGAGCGGGATTCGATGCCCTCATGGCAAGCGACGACACCTGCTGGCTGCGCGGGTCCGTTCTGAGAGGCGTGTACGCTCTGAGGAAGCTGGTGGAGGAGGTGGAGGGCAAGGTGGGCGCGTGGGAGGCGCAGTGGGGCGAGCTAGAGCGGACCTTCCAGCAGCAGAACCGGGAGTTCCTGGAGGTGGGGCGAGCGCTGCAGCGCGTGCAGGGGGAGAAGCGGGCAGTGGAGGGGGCAGTGAGAGAGAGGGCGGAGGAGGAGGCGGGGCGGCGGGAGGTGGTTGAGAGGACGGTGCGCGTGGCAGCTGAGGCAGTGGAGGTGGAGAAGGAGATTGAGGAGAAGCAACAGCAGGCGACAGTGGCTACAATGGAGAATGCTGCTGCGTGCTCTGGGCACGGAAGCGAGGTGAGCAGGCGTTTGGAGAAGGAGGTGGAGTGGCTGCAGCAGGTGAAGGACGCGAAGGAGAGGGAGGTGGTGGGGCTGATGAAGCGAGTGACAGAGATGGAGCTGCAGGGCCGCGCGCAGTGGGAGCAGGCGGTGCGGCGGCAGGAGGCTGCTGCGAAGCAGGTGGAGGGGCTCTCGCAGCAGCTGAGGGCGGCGCAGCAGCAGCTGGGTGGGAAGAGTGGCGAGGTGGAGAAGCTGGTGTGGACGGTGGAGCAGCTGCAAGAGGAGGTCAAGGCCAAGGTGAGGCGTCGTGGTGGCTTGTTGCTCGTTCAGTTGCTTGTTCAGGGCATGGCTTCTTCCGAATTTAGTTGGTCAGGACTCACGAGTGTTACCCCTGAGTGCTCCTTTTTATGCCACTTGTGCAGACGGCCTATCGCATGTGTCCTTTGTGTAGTACCATGAGTGTTACCCCTGACTGTCCTTTTCGTACCATTCGTGCAGCCACAGCAAGCAAGTGTTGGAATATAACCAGCGCATTGTGCCTCTCCCACTCTATCCCTTCCCTCTCACCTCATCCAGGACGCCCAGATCACCTCTCTGCACGTGCAACTCGCAGCAGCAGCGAAGGCAGTGACTCTTGACTCCCCTCTCAGACCCCGTCAACCAGCAGCAGCAGCAGCAGCAGCAGCAGACAGAGGCGAATCAGCCCCTGCAAGCGAGCCCAGGCAGCAGCGGCCCTCGGAGTCAGGTCACGGGTCGCGGCGGGTGCGGCAGCGGCTGGGCGGCGTGCTATCCGCCATCCACAGCATGGGAGCTATTCGCGACGGCACTCGCAGCCCGTTTGGGTTCAGGGGCGTGGGGGCCAGCAATGAGGGTGCAGCAGCAGCAGCTGCTTCTGGTGGTGCTGTGCATGCTTCCACGGCTGCTGGGTGCAGTGGGCGGGGTGCTGCTGCGTCTGTGAGCTGTGGGACTGGAGGAGGGGAGGGTGAGGAGTTTTACACGCCCATGACCAATTTGCCCTTCAGCCCGGAGAGTGGGGTGGAGGCGAGTGGAGGGGGGCACGACAGTGGTGCTGGTGGGAGCGTGAAGGGGAACAAGGGGAAGGGGTCTGGATGGGGTGTGGGGCACGGAGGGGTTGGTGGTGGAAGTGCGAAGAAGCGAGGCTGGGGGAGTGGCGTGGGCAAGTGCGTTGGGAGTGATGAGAACGCGCCGTTGATTCCTGACGGCCCACAATCAGGTACACTTCTGCCCATCCCCTTCCCCTTTCTTTCAAACCGCCCATTTCCTCTTCCTTTCCAATACCTGTGTCCCGTATCACGTATTACGCTTCTCCCTTGTCTTGACATGTGTCAGAACTTTCTTCTTTTCTGTCTCCCTTATGTGGCGTCTCAAACTATTTCATCAGACTGCTCCCGTGTTCTTTCATTCTCAGGTGATGGGGTCATGGCATCTGCACCCTTGCACACTCCACCTGTTGCTGGGAGTGCAAACAAGGTGACTGTCAGGGCCGCCTTTGAAGCACCGGCACCATTCTCTCAGCTCTCCGGGAGATGGCAGCAAGACAGGTACCTCCTTCTCCTTCCCCCCCTTGTTCTCACACGTTCCTCTCTTTTCTAGTTCCACCCTCCCTCTCCCATCAGCTGTTTGCCAAAGGATGCATGCATAATCACGTGCTTCTTATACGGTAGTGTACAATAAGAGGAATATAAATACGGTATGAATGCTGTTTTGTGTCATGTGCCATGGCTTTTGGGATCCTCTTGTGTCTTGCTTCCTGGCAGGCCACTTTCTGGTGAGGGAACACCAAGGAGCAACCGTCGTGGTCCAGTCCTTAGGTAGCCCGGTACCATTACGCTCCCACTTGATGATCTTGCAGTTCATTCATGCATTAGGTGTTTAGTGATGGCAAATTATGACCCTGATATACACAATCGTGTCTAGATGGTTATGTTGTAGCTGTTCACGAATGTATGGTACAATAGAGGATCAGTTGTAGGGCATTAGTTAATCTGGCAAGTTATATTATTGTTTAGAGTGGTGATATGTTTGCGCACCTGTAACTGATTGCACAGATGTTCACGCAGTTCCATATAAACGGTCGTGTTTCTCTGGTCCGTTCCTTCCACTTTCGCTACGCTCCCACCATGTTAGGAGATTCGGTAATCTTCCTCCTTGTCCCTAGTTGAGACATGGTCAGGCTTTACATAGTAGCAGGACGCCATGCCAGCTGGCTGTTATACAGCTGAGACGCATACATGCTTTCTGCAACGGTCTCCGGTACGCAAGCTCGCGCTTCAGCCACCCTCGCTGGTATCGTCTCGCTGTCGCCGAACAAATCGATACATTCAGGCCTCGTGCTCGTTTCACTTCTCAGTCCCAGGTTCCGAGCTCTCTCGTTTTTCGATGCAACCTTTTCGCGGTATTTAGCAAGCCGTACAAGCAGCAGCAAAAGCTGGTCCGAGCCGCGGCTACTCGTGATGTGTGCGAAGTGGCTATTAAAATCCGAGCCGGAGACGTGGTCATGGGACGATCAGGTGGCGAAGAAAGTGGAGCCGTGGGACGGCGTGCGAAACCACCAAGCGGCGAATAACATGAAAGCTATGAAGATCGGTGACCTCGCCTTTTTCTACCACTCAGGCAAGGCGAGCGAGCTTGACTTGATTCTCTAGGTGCCTCAAAACGCAGGACGAGCGAGCTTGACATGACAATCGTCTAATTAAGACCTTCCTTCTCGAGGCTTAAATTATGTGATCCACTTCAGTGACTCAGGCAAGGCTTTGACTGCTATGGTCCAATTCGGACGTTCCTTTTTCCAAGTCATATATTGTGGTTCACTCTGTGTGCCATTTAGGCAAGTTGTCTGCCATGTCACATTCCAGCAAATCCACTCATTCTCCCTAAGGTGATCTTATCGTGATCTTCTCCCACTTCATTATTCAGGCAAGGAGCGTCGAGTCATGGGGATTGTCCGAATCTGCAAGGAGTATTACCCCGATCCCAGCGACAAGTCAGAGAAATTCGGCATGGTGGATGTGGAAACAGTTGAGGCGTTTCCAAGCCCGGTGACTCTGCGTGCTATCAAGGAGGACTCGCGTTTGAGTCACATCGTGCTGGTGCGCCAATCACGGCTGTCGGTGACGCCTGTTGACGAAGCGGCTTGGGATATTATCAAGGAGCTCGGGTTTAGAGCGCCGGATTTGGATGAGAATGGAGATAAGGAAGAGAAGGAAGGCAAGGAAGAGGGGAGAGAGGCAGGCAGAGGAGACAAGGGAGGAAAGGGAGAAAAGGGAGAAAAGGGAGAACAGGGAGGGGGAGAGATTTCTGAAGGGCAAGAATCAGTTCAAGGTGGCAAGAAGCAGGAGTTGGAGCAGATTGCTCATTCTGAGGGGGTACCCAAGAGAAGACGGAAGAGAAAGTAACAATCTATGGCGCCACCAACTTCGTGGGAGGTGCAATATGGATTCGATTTTACACCTGACTCCAGTGCATCGGGCTGTCCTGATACATTGGCATGCGCGTACGGACATACTTTTGAATAAATGCATGAGTGCATAGATGCATGAATTCATGGATGCATGAATGCATGGATGCACGGGCATGGATGGGCATGTAGGGGAAATGGCCATGTATGGGCATGTATTGGCAAGTATGGGCATGTATGGGCATGTATGGGCATGTATGAGCATGTGTGGTATGTGTGGGCATGTGGGCATTTGTGGGCCTGTACAGGCATGTATGCACATGCTTGGTCATGTATATGCATGTATGGGCATGTATGGGCGTGTATGGGCGTGTATGGGCATGTATGGGCATGTATGGGCATGTATGGGCATGTATGGGCATGTATGGGCATGTATGGGCATGTATGGGCATGTATGGGCAAGGTATGGGCATGTATGGGCATGTATGGGCATGTAGGGGCATGTATGGGCATGTATGGGCATGTATGGGCATGTATGGGCATGTATGGGCATGTATGGGCATGTATGGGCATGTATGGGCATGTATGGGCATGTATGGGCATGTATGGGCATGTATGGGCATGTATGGGCATGTATGGGCATGTATGGGCATGTAATGGGCATGTATGGGCATGTATGGGCATGTATGGGCATGTATGGGCATGTATGGGCATGTATGGGCATGTATGGGCATGTATGGGCATGTATGGGCATGTATGGGCATGTATGGGCATGTATGGGCATGTATGGGCATGTATGGGCATGTATGGGCATGTATGGGCATGTATGGGCATGTATGGGCATGTATGGGCATGTATGGGCATGTATGGGCATGTATGGGCATGTATGGGCATGTATGGGCATGTATGGGCATGTATGGGCATGTATGGGCATGTATGGGCATGTATGGGCATGTATGGGCATGTATGGGCATGTATGGGCATGTATGGGCATGTATGGGCATGTATGGGCATGTATGGGCATGTATGGGCATGTATGGGCATGTATGGGCATGTATGGGCATGTATGGGCATGTATGGGCATGTATGGGCATGTATGGGCATGTATGGGCATGTATGGGCATGTATGGGCATGTATGGGCATGTATGGGCATGTATGGGCATGTATGGGCATGTATGGGCATGTATGGGCATGTATGGGCATGTATGGGCATGTATGGGCATGTATGTGGGCATGTATGGGCTGTATGGGCATGTATGGGCATGTATGGGCATGTATGGGCATGTATGGGCATGTATGGGCATGTATGGCATGTATGGGCATGTATGGGCATGTATGGGCATGTATGGGCATGTATGGCATGTATGGCATGTATGGGCATGTATGGGCATGTATGGGCATGTATGGGCATGTATGGGCATGTATGGGCATGTATGGGCATGTATGGGCATGTATGGGCATGTATGGGCATGTATGGGCATGTATGGGCATGTATGGGCATGTATGGGCCATGTATGGGCATGTATGGGCCATGTATGGGCATGTATGGGCATGTATGGGCATGTATGGGCATGTCTGTGGGCATGTATGGGCATGTATGGGGCATGTATGGGCATGTATGGGCATGTATGGCATGTATGGGCATGTATGGGCATGTATGGGCATGTATGGGCATGTATGGGCATGTATGGGCATGTATGGGCATGTATGGGCATGTATGGGCGATGTATGGGCATGTATGGGCATGTATGGGCATGTATGGGCATGTATGGGCATGTATGGGCATGTATGGGCATGTATGGGCATGTATGGGCATGTATGGGCATGTATGGGCATGTATGGGCATGTATGGGCATGTATGGGCATGTATGGGCATGTATGGGCATGTATGGGCATGTATGGGCATGTATGGGCATGTATGGGCATGTATGGGCATGTATGGGCATGTATGGGCATGTATGGGCATGTATGGGCATGTATGGGCATGTATGGGCATGTATGGGCATGTATGGGCATGTATGGGCATGTATGGGCATGTATGGGCATGTATGGGCATGTATGGGCATGTATGGGCATGTATGGGCATGTATGGGCATGTATGGGCATGTATGGGCATGTATGGGCATGTATGGGCATGTATGGGCATGTATGGGCATGTATGGGCATGTATGGGCATGTATGGGCATGTATGGGCATGTATGGGCATGTATGGGCATGTATGGGCATGTATGGGCATGTATGGGCATGTATGGGCATGTATGGGCATGTATGGGCATGTATGGGCATGTATGGGCATGTATGGGCATGTATGGGCATGTATGGGCATGTATGGGCATGTATGGGCATGTATGGGCATGTATGGGCATGTATGGGCATGTATGGGCATGTATGGGCATGTATGGGCATGTATGGGCATGTATGGGCATGTATGGGCATGTATGGGCATGTATGGGCATGTATGGGCATGTATGGGCATGTATGGGCATGTATGGGCATGTATGGGCATGTATGGGCATGTATGGGCATGTATGGGCATGTATGGGCATGTATGGGCATGTATGGGCATGTATGGGCATGTATGGGCATGTATGGGCATGTATGGGCATGTATGGGCATGTATGGGCATGTATGGGCATGTATGGGCATGTATGGGCATGTATGGGCATGTATGGGCATGTATGGGCATGTATGGGCATGTATGGGCATGTATGGGCATGTATGGGCATGTATGGGCATGTATGGGCATGTATGGGCATGTATGGGCATGTATGGGCATGTATGGGCATGTATGGGCATGTATGGGCATGTATGGGCATGTATGGGCATGTATGGGCATGTATGGGCATGTATGGGCATGTATGGGCATGTATGGGCATGTATGGGCATGTATGGGCATGTATGGGCATGTATGGGCATGTATGGGCATGTATGGGCATGTATGGGCATGTATGGGCATGTATGGGCATGTATGGGCATGTATGGGCATGTATGGGCATGTATGGGCATGTATGGGCATGTATGGGCATGTATGGGCATGTATGGGCATGTATGGGCATGTATGGGCATGTATGGGCATGTATGGGCATGTATGGGCATGTATGGGCATGTATGGGCATGTATGGGCATGTATGGGCATGTATGGGCATGTATGGGCATGTATGGGCATGTATGGGCATGTATGGGCATGTATGGGCATGTATGGGCATGTATGGGCATGTATGGGCATGTATGGGCATGTATGGGCATGTATGGGCATGTATGGGGGCAATGTATGGGCATGTATGGGCATGTATGGGCATGTATGGGCATGTATGGGCATGTATGGGCATGTATGGGCATGTATGGGCATGTATGGGGCCATGTATGGGCATGTATGGGCATGTATGGGCATGTATGGGCATGTATGGGCCATGTATG